CCCCCCCCCCCCCCCCCCCCACGGCATTCCTGTTCACGACCCCCCGTCCTCTCGAGGACGAGTGATCGATGGTCTACGAACTAATAGGCATCCAAACCATGAATACGCCCCCCCACCTGGCGGTACCTTGGAACGCAGGTGATCCCTAGGCTCCTCGAGCGCGCAGCAAGGGCATCACGACTGGCGTGCAACACGTTCGGTCCGCTGCACTCCCCGCCCCCGCCCAACACGGCCTCCTCCAACGGCAACGGCAGCGGCGGTGGGTTGGACATGGATGTCGACGAGTCGGACGCGGCAGGGGGCGGCGGGAGCGGGAGCGGGGGCCAGGGCAAGGCTGCTAGGGGGCCCGATGCAGGGGCGGCGACGGCGGAGGGGGTCGAGCTGTTGCAGGTATCACTACAGCAGCAACAGCAGCAGAACCGAAATACTGCTGTCTGGCGTCAACTTCACACCGTGTTTTATTTTTTTTCGTCACTCTCGCTAGGCCTGTGTTTTCGTCTTCCAAGCGTTTCTATCGCTTTGCCTGTGGGTTTTCCGGCGTATGCACACGTAATACCCCTGTACTCAAACGTCCCCTCTTTAAGGCAATGGTCCCTGTATAAGGTCGTGGTGGTTTCTATATCATGTCGGGCAAATCGCGTGGTGCAGATGGAATAATCAAGTTGGCTCACACTCTATTGAGTAGCGCCGGGTGCCCGATATAAGGCCGGCCAAATTACTTGGCACCATGCGATATGGTACATTCAGGGACCACTCCTGAACCTGTCCCACTTCTCGGTGTCGAGTCCGGGTTGTCCTCAAGCCGATTCCTGACGGGATCACAACAACGATTCCTGCAGTGCCGGTTGCCGGTTGCTTCCCCATCACCGTAACCCTAACCCCTGGGGACATTGACTATCGGAAGAGTTTTTATTTTATTTTCACAGCACAGCATGTATGACCAAATAACGCTGAAAACGACTTCACTCGTGTGTATGCTGATGCTGATCGATTTCGACTTGTTAACGGTCGACGAAGGACAGAGACGGTCCAATTCTTGTCACGATCAACCGGTACGACAAGCATTGCGTTGAGAACTCCAAACCCGCACAAGCTCACACACACGTGGGCATCCTTTTTTCTCGTTTGTTTGTTTTGTGAGCAGCTGATCTACAGCGTCTTCGCCAGCGCGGCGTCGAGAGGCCTCCTCACGAGGACCATGGTGGAATCGGGCGTGGTCAGCGCCATGGCCAACGACCCCATGCTCACGCTCGTGCGCCAAGCTTCCGCGGACAAGCAGGTGGGTACCCGCGTTTGCGGTGAAGCGTTTTCAGCAGCGGGGACCCCAGTGTGAAAAGCGCGGTTGATCGACGAAGACTGTATGGACATGTATGTGCAGAGTGGCTCTCTCCCTCAAGGTCAGTGAGCGATTTTGTTGTTTTTGGAGAGAGCGCGGTTGGTTCTGTCTGTGTCCCACCAGTCACTGCTGTTTTGCCAGCCGTGCGTGGGTTGAACAGTAAGATCAAAGAAAAAACACCTCTAGTTTTTGTTCGCATCGCTTGATACTTGTCGCCAACGTCCTCCCACTCGAGTTTGCCGTTCCTCTTTTGTCCTTGAGGTATATTTTCTTGCAATACAGTATGCTGCAAAGGCGTACCGGGTACCCCCTTTTGTCCTTGCTTTTGCGGGAATCGCTTGTTGCCGTAAAGGTCTTGTACCCATATTTTTGCCCTTGGGTTTATGCTTCTCCAAACATGGGGTTCAACAGCAGTACCCCTTTTTTTGTCCTCGCGTGCCTCCTGTAACGTGCAGTGCTCCGTCCCGCGCGGCTACACGCACCAATCGGAGCTCTCCCCACACTGGCAGTGCTACCTGCTAGCCCTCCGGACCACGTCCGACCTAACCCGCACCATCCACGCCTCCAAAGCTCTATCGTCGCCGCTGGCGAGCAACGCCGTCGCGGCGAGGTGGACCGCTGGCATCGTCTCCTCCTCCTCCTCCGCAGGCGGCGTGTCGAGGGAGAGGATAGGGCCGCGAGAGGCTGAGGCCGGGCTGTCGCAAGTCTTCCGCTTTGTCGACACGTTCCGAGAAACAATGGTCGAGGGCTTGTCGCTGGTTGTGTCGGCTCCGCCGACGGGGGGGGGAAGGCTTACCCTTGCGGTCGTGCAGGAGAGCGTGGATGTGGCGGGCGTGGTGGCCGCGCTGGGGCCGTGGGTGGAGCGATGGAGGGCGCAGCACCCGGGCACGTCGACGCAGCTGCTGGAGGTAGGTGTGACGCTTCGGCTCCGCCCCCGCCGCGGCCTTGTGTTGACGTTTGAAGTCGTATTCCGGTTTTTGCTGCGTAAGCAAGCACCTTCTGACATGAGTTGCCGGTCCAACTGACGCAAGCGCCGTCCGTGGTTACAGGCCGGCTACATCCTAGAAAGTATCGAAGGTAAAGCTGAGAACGGACTCAACATGAATGTACACAAACGCGATTGTGGAACAAAGCCAGGGATTCTTTGGTGTAGGTGTTGGAAGAGTCGGGGTGGGTTTGCTGGTGGACACGTGCGGAAGTGCTCGCCGAAGTTTTGCGGTGCGAAGAGGAATCGACGCTGTTTTTTGGGATAATGATGCTCGTGTGATGCCTAGATGGCCAATCGATATGTTGGTACCCCCGGACTAGCGTCGGGGCGGCTTGTCTCCCAGGCGTGGATCGGATTGGCGAAGGGTAGTTTGCACGGCACACCTCGACGACGTAGATAAAACATGCATTTAGTTGACTCGAACCACCCAAGCGCCAAGGCGACACACACCACACATGTGTTGGGAGTTAAGTTGCGCCTACCAGCGTATGTATGCATAGCCGCCACAAGTTTTCTTTTTTTTTCGTGCTCCCGTCCGCATTCGAAGATTCGGTTTCGAAAAAGCATCGCCGCTAGCGCTGCCAATCGCCTCACAAACCGAGTACGTGCAGCACTCCCACATCCCTAACCCCACCCTAATCTTCAACTCACCAGGCGGTGCGGCAGGCCACTCGCACAGCGGCCGTCCTCCTAGTACCAGCCACCGGGCCCCCGGCGACGAAGTCCGCCGCCAGCGGTGGCGGCTCGGCGGCAACGGGCCAGACTCCGGTCCGCGGAGGGAGCGGCGGCGGCGGCGGGGGATGGTCATCTCCTGTTGCCCGCCGGAGATCCTTGGAGGAGTTCACGCCGATGCAGCAGGCCACCCCTACCCCGGCCAGGGGAGCTGTCGGCGGCGGCGCCGCGATAACGCCTGCCAGGTATATTGCAGGGGGCGGGGCCGTACTAGCGGGAGCCACCGCATCCGGTGGCGGAGGAGCCGGGGGAGGAATAGCCGACTCGAGGCCGCTGGAGCTTGTCGAGGCCTGCGCGCTGGCCGTCACCGCGGAGGAGAAGGCTGCGCTGGACAACGGCGGTTACGGCGTGTCTTCCTCGGACGGCGGGGGCCAGTACCCTTGTGCCATGACGATGGCTACTCCGACGCCAGTGTATCGTGGCGGCGGCGGGGGCGGCGGCGGTGGTGCTGTGTTTGCGCCGCCGAGAGCCGGGGTGGGCGGGGCAGGGGGTGCCGCCGGAGGGCTCGGCTTTTTCGGGAGGGTGGAGGATGGGATCACGGCCTTCTTGGTGCTAGCGTTGAGCGTCTTGAGGTATGTACTTTGAGGAGTGTTGCTGGACGTTTCTCAGCAGGACGAAGGCTATGGGTGTAGACTATCCTACCAGTGTTGGTGTTTTGTTTTGTTTTTCTCATCTAAATCTCGAGATTGTTGGCTGCATTTTGGCTCGATGTCAAAGATCGACGTCGGCCTGTTGTGCTGTGGACTATTTATAGTTTGCATCGTTGGCACCCACTCTCCCTCAGAATGATGGCATGAAACAAGTACATAGGTACGTACCACCGGGTGACGTAGGGGCGTCCGTGTGATCGTGTCTGCACGAGCTTTGTGGTGTGGGTGTCTTTCCATGGGTGCATGACATTCTTTTTGTGTTTACACACCCGTCACCGTTTTTGTGAATGTTAAAAGTCGGAATACCAGGTTAACTCTTGCACTCGACGCGTCAGCAACACTTTGGTACACAACACGTGCGTCTTGCTCCGCCAAGAAGTAGATATTTTATTCGCTCCGGCTGTGATTGCTTTTGAGCTACCGCCCTAGCCAACAAACCCCACACTCTTGTTTTTGGTTCCCACGGCTGTTTTGTTGTTGTTGTCTGTGCCTGCAAAACCAACGACAGGCGAGTGTCCCCTCAGCCGAAGGACATGAAAATCGAGGTCAGGCCTGAGGACCGTGGGAGCATCGAGGCCCCAGTCGGCGCGTGGATAGAGTGCAAGTGAGCCCAAACGTTGGTCACAGATTTTGCCAGAAAGTGCGGGGTGCTGCAGCTGTTTACAACAGCAGTGGTGGTGACATTTCCCCCCCGATTCCCCCC